CATTCTGCTATAGTTAAGATAAAAAAGAGCTAACTTACAAAATTTCTTTTCAAATATCTGAGTTTGACTTTAGAACTTGCTATTCTTTCATGTAGGCTTTGGAAAGCTAGTGTTGCTACTGTAGGATTTTCTTTTCTAGCTTTTGCTGATTGTGCTTTCAAAAAATCCATGAATTTCTTTCAAAAGATTTGCAGTATTATCAATTTTGTAAGTGTGTTAATATATTAAATAATTAGAATATGAGCGACACTAAATATATTTTGGTCTTTATTATAAGGGGCTTCTGTTGCTATCTCTAAGAGCTCATGAAAGGTCTCATAAGGCTCAGCAATAGTGATAACAAAATCAGCTTCTTGCACTTCAGCCAGATAGATTGCTAGCTTTTCGAATAAAAACTCTATATGTACATAATATGTAAGAAGTTTAGCTTTTGAATAAAGATTCTGAATGAACACAATTTGTAAGAAGTTTTAGTTTTTGAATATTTTCTTTTAAATCTTTTGATAAATTCCTTCAGGAAATTCGAGCTGCAAGTACCTTTATACTTAACTTTTCTGAAGGAATATCAACAGTGTTTTATATTTAGCGAGCTTTTATCTCTATACATACAGCAGCTTCCATCTATTAATGCAGTTTGTTTGTACTTTTAGAAAGATTCAGAAGCTGCTTGCTGCACTTGTTTGAAGTCATCTTTGATCAGAGTGAAAGCAAAATTAACTGCTTCCAACTTCCCAGAAGAAATCCTGCAAGGCTCACTTTAGCATACATCTCCACCTCTCTTACATACATAACTATCAATACAGCCTGCTTGTATATTCAGAAATATTTAGATGCTGCTTGCTGCACTTGTTTGAAGTCATCTTTGATCAGAGTAAAAGCAAAATTAACTGCTTTCAACTTTCCAGAAGGGATCCTGCAAGGCTCGCTTTAGCATACATCCTCTCCTCTCTTATATACACAACTATTGATACAACCTGCTTATGTGTTCAAAAAGATTTAGATACTGCTTGCTGCACTTGTTTAAAGTCATCTTTGGTCAGAGCAAAAGCAAAATTAAATGCTTCCGACATTCCAGAAGGGATTCTGCAAGGCTTGTTTTAGTATACACCCCCACTCCTCTTGCATACACAGCTATTGATACAGTGTGATTTTGCTTTGCTGAGTAGTGTGGCACCTTTTTAAATTGGAAAGAGTATCTGCTTTGCTTCATTTACTCGACTTTTAAAAAGAAATGCATTATATACATATTGTTACATTTATTTTCAATGATTCCATAATTAATGAATCTTTCAAAAATAGTAGAAAATATAAAAATCCTCAAAAATAGTAACAAAACAACAAATCGATAAAAATAGTATATACATTTAATAACCATATAATAACTATTATGTACTTTTTTTATCTTTATTTTCTACTTTTTTTACCTTTTATACCTTACTTAATTATCTTTTCTACCTTTTATACTTTTATTTTCTACCTTTTCTACTTTTTTTATCTTTATTTTCTATCTTTTTTACCTTTTATACCCTATTTATCTATCTTTTCTACTTTTTTTTACTCTAATTATCTATCTTTTCTACCTTTTCTACTTTATTTATCTACCTTTTCTATCTTCAATATCTACCTTTTTTACCTTTTCTATCCTATTTATCTATCTTTTCTACCTTTTCTATCTTCAATATTTATCTTTTTTACCTTTTCTATCTTTGATATTTATCTTTTCTATCTTTACTACTCTTACTTTCTACCTTTTCTATCTTTTTCTATTTATCTTTTCTATCTTTTATATATATCTTTTTATATTTTTATAATGTAAATAGAATTAAAATGTATTGACAAATTTTGTATAAATAGGAATGCTCTCTCATATATCAATCTCATGTTTCAATGCTTAAACAAATTAATAAATTTTAATCTTGCTATAATAAGTTAACGTCTGCCTTATTATTATAAAATTAATATTTATCATTGTATCTTCTTCTGTTAAAACAAGTTGCCTGGCAAAAATAATTTATTGATTGAACTTCAAATCTTGTAATTCAAGTCACTTTTCATAAATTTTGAGCAAGATCAAGAAACCGAATATTGATTTGTGTAAAATTGAATTTCTGATTATTACTTTTGTCTTTGAATTTGAAAAAGACAGTTAAGTATTTT